ATGGTGCTGAGACTATGAATTTAAGTGCAGAACTAGATTGGTAGCAAGATCTCATCATTTAACAGCTGAAATAGCTAGAAGTTCTATCTTAACAGTTTTTTTTCTCACACTTCTTGCTTGTGTAACTCATTTCTGGTTTCATGCTTTCTAGTCAACTTTGATCTTCAAATATTAAAATGCAATGCCAATCATTATCTTCTGTCTTTTTAATTTCTGTTCTTTCATTGTTCTCTCTCCTTAATAATTTTTTTTCTTATATTCTTTCACACTCAGTAGACCCCTTGCATCTTATTTGCTTTGTTGCCCTTCTTGGGGTGAAATGAGTAAAAAACAAAAAAAATCTATATACAGTTGAAAGCATTGCAGAAAAAGATGTGTTTCTCTTTTTTGTTTGCAATGAAATAATAGTTGGCAGACTTGTGTAACATCTAATATCTATGTATTCCTCTTAGGTGGCTTCATAACTGCAGCCTTGTGATAGACATATACTTCAAAGTATAAGTTCATCACTCTTGACTGCAAACAAGTATTTCAAACTACATGTTTAGCACTTTCCTTCTATCAAATAGTAAAATGCAGAGTCAGAAAATAAAGAGTAGCTAAATATAGAATTTCTGATCTTGTCTCAGATTCATTGTGATTTTGAATGGTACCAAATACAATGATACAAAAGGGATACAAAAGCACTTATCTCCCTTTGGTGGAGATAAGTCACGTGGGTCACATGACAACTGCTTAGTGATGTCACTTCATACAGTGATGAAAGCAGTAGTCAAATTTCAGTTCATTTTACAGCAGCCAAACAAAAAGGTTGCTTTCTTTAGACTGGGCCCTGGCATGGCCTATGCAGAGGCTAAATCTGCCTCCTCAGCAGCTTACAAGTCCATGGTGCTGTTTCCCTTTGGGAATATATTTTTCCCAGATACAGAAAGAAACTCCAGCTTGCAGTCCTCAATTTGGGAAAACCCAAGACTCGTTGTTTCCCATTTGTGGCATATGTCCTCACCTGGGACATTGATGAATCTAGCCCATTTGAATCTGGAGTCCTAAACATGGTTTCTCCAGATACAGGAATATCTCCATATTATATGTAAGACCCATCCTTTTTGTTTCTCCTTACACTCTGTTTTGCTGTGTAGATATATGTGATATCTTATTCTTCACATGGGACATGTGCATATATAGTTTTGTGTATGATGTAGCATTATAAAAGTCCCTCTGAGAACAAAGCATGTTTGTCATTCTTTTTTCTTTCAGTCATTCTGTTCTGCTTGTGAACTATGGTGTTATTATATCATGGATATAATAATTCCCATAATATGGGAAATACAAATGGGAGAATAAATCTTTCTACCATAGCTCTCTCCCATTACAATGTGTAGGTAGTGTAGCAGTTCTAGGCATGGGAAGTGGAATCGACAAGCTGAGTTCAAATTCTGGTCTAGTTTGCTGCGCTCACTTTCACACTGTTACTTTTAAGAAAGGTAGAAATCAAACTCTTTTCTACAAAGCTTTGAATAGACAGTGTTCTCTCATCTTGAGTTGTAGTCAGTCTAATAGACAGACAACTTTGAATTGGAAAGTGTAGATAAGACAACAGGAAACAACTTCACAATCCTTCCAAAGAAATCATAGCAGTCCACAGATAATGAAACAGGAAGCTGCAGAGAGCCATGTCCACATATGCCTTGAATGGACTGGGCAATAAACAAAACAAAGAACAAATACAAAACTACTGAGGAGCAAGAACCCAGTAATACATGTGCAAGCATATATATATTTATTGAGAGACTCAGTAGGATCAAAATGCAATTCTCTAGTTCTTCCTAGGATCAGTGTAGTATCTGTGCATGTTGCCCAAGATCAGTCATTCACTTGCTCCTGGCTTAAGATCATTGTAATATCTGTGTACTCTATGTAAAATCAAGATGCCACTCACTGGTCTTCTGCCTAGTCTCAGTTTATTATCTGTGTACTCTGAATATCTTCTTCTATGTGTCGTTGTCGATCATGGCTCTCCACAACTTCCTATACTTTGTAGCTCTTAACTTTTTTGCCATTTCCTCTAAATCCTGCATCATCATTCATTCACTCAAGCTCACACAGTAGGTTGTGCATTGTTTTCCTCTGTCTCTTTTACCTACAATCTGTCTTGTGAGTATCACATTTTCCAAGTCCTCTTTCCTTATTATGTACCATAGAAATTTCAATTGTCTCTTTCTGATGTTAAGTATAAATGTCCTTTTTGTTTCCATTGTCTCTAGAACATTGCTGTTGCTCACATGTTCAGACCATGGTATTCTCAGCATCCTTCTGTAGAACATCATTTCTGTTACTTCAACTTTCTTCTTCATCTGTGAGATTGTCCCGCATTCAGTGCCATATTGGAGGACTGATACTACATAACAGTTCAGTATTCTTTTCTTTGTTTCTAATGATTTTTTTTTTTTTGATTATTTACAAATTAAATTTATCTTCCTGTTTGAACAGCAGAATACAGCAAAAGTCCCGTTATTCATTATTATATATGATATTTATTAAGTACGTGAAAAAAATCTGGAGAAATTTTGGAGATTGAATAAACAATTTATATGCTTTTTTTTTTAAATTCTGGAAACTTTGGTATACATCTGATATATCTACATCTATATACGAATAGTTAAGCATACATCTTTATACGTATGCATGACTTTATCTCTATATATTTGCCTAACAATGCGTGTCTAAATGAATGTAGATTGATTCACATATGTTTCTTCATGAGAACATACATCAATGTGTTCATGAGAATCGGTATTATTTTAATCTACATTAAAAGGTCACAAGACCAAAATTTAGTCACTGACGCTATGCAAAATATTTCAAAGGTCACATGACATCTCACATTGTGTGGGATTTTTATATGAAAATTAGGACATAACTGCATCTATACAGATGCATATATATATATATATATATATATATATAAGGTATATTTAGGCAGGAAGTATTCATCCAAACAAGTTTGATTGAAATGAACTGACAAGGTCTGTCTGCTTAATTTTTAGATTATATTTTTACAATTTTCAGATAAGGTGTTGAGCATCGTACGCAAAACTGCAGATAAACTATCCAATGTTCATATTTTGTTATTTTGTTTCAAGTTCTTTCAACTGTTACAGTCATTATCAAGAACCAATGTTGTGTCTGTGGTGGTCAGTTTATCCACAACTTTGAGCACAAATCCAGCAACTCATCTGAAAGTTGGAAAAAATAACAAAAAAAATTGGGTCTTTTTAAATCTTCAACTTGTTTTGTCAGAAACACCATTTACTGAAAAGCTGCTCTGAATTCTACAATAAAGAATGCAATAAAACTATGACATTATTTAATTATAAAAGCTCTTAATTGCTTTTATAAGATATATTAAGGATACTATTATCTTAAGAAAAATTGTTTTTGGATGATTTATAACAAGAATTGTTTTCATTTTTTTAAAAATTTTAATTAGAAAAATTTATTAAGTTTTAAATCTTTTAAAATTCTGTATTATCTTCAACCGTTTAGATGATATTAAGTGAATACTATATTTACTAATCATAAATGGAAAAACTTAATACAAATCATCAAACCAATATTTTTAAAAGAATTTTTAATTTTTTTTATATGTATAAACATACCCATTTTTTTAAGTATGGGCAACCATACACAACATTATCAATAAAGAAGAGTGATGACTATAGTAAATTTAAAGTCAACATTTCTAAAATTTAATAAAACATTAGATTATGGAGAATATTTTCCTAAATTTTTAAGATTACTGAGTACATAAAAATGATATAAAAAAGGCACTCATGCCATTTTCTTAAAAGATGTTTTACAGCTAAAATCTCTGTAGAACAACATAAAACCTGTCATCATGCTGTCAACACATGAAATCAGCTACTGTCTGGTTAAAAACACAGCCACTTTTTACTGTTGGACTAAAAAATGCATTTCTGCTATATTTTAAACTTAAAATAAATAATATTTGTTCTAAACCAGATTAATTATACTTTAAATTAACTGATATTCCTCAAATAAAGTTTACAAAAAGCATATTTTAGTTTTTTGAAGATTTTTTATTCAAGAGAATTACATTGCTATGAAAGATGACAAAAAAGGGCGTTAATCTACTATTTAAGCAGAAAAAAAAAAAACTCCATCCAGTTAATTTAAATTAATTTTTGAAATACAGCAAAGTATTTTTCTTATTGGAAATATTAAATTTAATCTATTAGCTTGAAATTAAAACTAAAATAAAATCTTCAAGAAAGATTTTTCCAAAAATTCATTTTAAATCAGGTATGGTTTCTTTTTCTGTTTTTTGTGGAGATATCTAATTTACACTATTAATGTGTGGAATATTTCACATAAAATGCACAAATTCTATATTTTATTTTTTTCACTTTGATGTACCAGCATTTTGTGAACTTTACCAGATTTTCCAAGTTTCAACTTTCAGGTTCCTGAACTTCCTAGAAAGATTATACTGTAATTAAGAGTTCTAATTACAGAATGCATGCAAATTGTACAAAGAAAAATCTTTTGAACAAAAAAAAAAAAATGGAAATCTGTCTTCGTAATGATGATAAATTTAAAAAGTAAACATTAATATGAATATACACTCCATATTCTGAAACTAGTTTTAGTTGTCAATTCATTGACTTTGTGAGTTCTTGTATTTCTTCATATTAGACAAGCACAGAATCCTGAATCAAGAATTATTTTTTTTATGGCTTATCAACCTTTTGCAGGTTATTGAAAGCCAGAAAATATTTTTAGATTGTAAGAATTTTGGGGGGTAATATTGATTTACTGATACAAGTCCTAGTAATTAACCCATAGCTGAGGGGAGAAGATATGGATTCATACCTTTCTCAAAGTTATTTGAGCATAATGAACCTAACTGGAATTGGAACTTGGCTCTCTGATTTTCAATTCTGAACTGTTATCCATTACACCACCCACACATCCAATCTTACAGGACCTGGTATTCCCAAGCTGTCACTCATCTAGGTACAATCAGGCTCAACACTGCTTAACTTTAGTGATCATATGAGAACCAGTTTTTCAACATATAACGTTTATTCCAGGGGTGTAGCTGTTGTTCCAGTTATGAGTTCAGCATTATCCTAAACAGGAGAACCTTTCAAGCATATTGTGTTTTTGGATAAGATCTGAAGATGTTTCAAACTGAAAGTAGAAACATTGAATTCCAAGGCAGTCATATGTTGAACAAAAGTTGATAAATCCCCAAAATTAAAGTATATAGCTTAACAAGGTTTTAACAAAGCAAAGTTTAACTGTTTGTTACATAGATGTTTTGGACTAGTGACTCCTTTTCCTTGACAGCAGTATGGAGATGTTTAAACTTTGAGTTCACAACTATGATGCTGACAGAACAGCCATATATGTCCTTGTTCTCTCCCTTTTCAAATCTTAGGCTGATTATCAGGTTGTCTATTCTTATGGCTACTGATATAATTTGTTTGTCACAATTCTCCTTGGTGGTTTCAATAGAACTTACATAAAGTGGGTTTTGTACCTATATATCTGGAATTCAGTCTTCAGATTTGTCCCAAAGGATATATTGGTATAATTTAGCTAGTAATTATATTAAGGGTCTATTTCTTCAGAAAGCACAGCGTCAGCTAACCACTTAGCCAAGTTCAGCTAACTTACTTCCTACAGACTATTTTTCCTTGAAGATCACTGGTGGATATATCTTTATGTAAACAAAGTAAACTGGTTGCCTTGGCTGAGTTTCAGAAGGCACTTTCTTCAGAATTATTCAGAAATCACACATCAATCCATGATTTCTAATTAATATTCAATTTGATTTGTTAAGAACTTCCCAGCATATCTAATTTCTTGAAACTAATTAACTTTCTTAATTAGTTCTTTTACAATAATCATAAAATGCACTTCAGACTTTACTCCCATGTTCTTTGATTCTATAAAATAAAATGAAGACTTTTTACATTTAACTATCTGTTGACTGTTGTCAAGCCTCCTTATGGTTCTACTCACCATTCATGTGAGTTACCATCATAGCAACTGACCAAGATAGCAACTTCATCAAATGAGAAACTTTGAAAGTATATATATATATATATATATATATATATAAGTTGGGGGAAACAAATATTCGTACACATACAAATATTTAATTTATTGTATTTCGAACTAATGAATAAACATAATTTTCAATTGATTAACTGTACACAGATGCATAATAACTAAATATGCATAAAAAACAGAAAAAAACATTGACTTAATAGAAATAAATTATCCATTTTAATGGGTGTAAAAGTATTCGTACAATGCAAATTTCAGATTTTAAAACTTAAAATGCTTTAATACTCTAGATTATTCAAGCGGAATATTCTGGAATGTTCCAATGTCAGTAGTTATTTTTAGCCTAAAAAATACAATCAGAACATTTTGTAATTGATATTCGTGTAAGAAGGTTACCATCATGGCAAGAGGTAAAGAATTGACAAATTTGCAAATAGAACTGATTGTTAAGCTCTGGAAAGAAAGTAAAAGTTACAGGAAAATCTCAGACAACCTGAATATTCCATTTACTACCATCAGTTCATTCATTGCAAGGTATAAAAACTCAAAACTGTTAAAAACCAAAGAAGAACAGGTGCTCCATGTAAGATTTCTTCAAGATCTTTGAGGAAATTAATGTTAAGTTAAACAAAATCGAATGGTTTCTCGTCAAGAGTTGCAGGATGATTTTCTTTTATCAGGAATCTGTGTCACTAAATGAACAATAAGCAATGAAATTCATAGAAACAATCTAAAGTCACATTCCCCTCAGAAAACTCTACCGCTATTAAAAAGACACATATATACCAGGTTGAAATTTATTCGCGTACATAAGGATAAGGAAAAATTGTGTTGGGAAAGAGTATTATGGACAGACAAAACCAAAATTTGGATGTTTGGATGTAATTCTAGAAATCATGTATGGAGGTAAGATAGTGAGGCCTTCAAATAAATGAACAGAGTTCCAACAGTGAAATTTGGTGGTGGCAGCATCATGATTTGGGGATTTTTTCTGCAAAAGGTAACATATCAATAATAGATGGTAGAATGAATGCCACAGCATATCAAAATTTTTGGAGGCAAATTTTACGAAGAAATGGCTTACTGAAAATATTGTAAATATCCTGAAATGGTCAAGTCAGTCACCAGATTTAAACCCAATCAAGAATCTGTGGCGTTATTTGAAAATTCAAATCCAACTGAAAGCTCCAGCGAACATCACAGATCTGAAGATCATGTGTGAAGAATGGGACAAAATACTAACTAAAATTTGCAAATCATTCATTGAGAACTACAAGAAGAGGTTGGTTGCTGTAGAAGTGAATAATGGCTATTCTACAAAGTATCAAATGAAGATTATGTATTCTTTTTTGTATTGTATGAATACTTTTTTCACCCATTAAAATGAATAAATGGGATATATTTCTATTAAATTGAAATTTTTTCTGTTTTCCTATGCATTTTTAGTTATTATGCATCTGTGTACAGTTAATTATATGAAAAGTATGTTTATTCATTAGTTTGTAATACAATAAATTAAAAATTTGTATCTGTACGAATATTTGTTTACCCCCACTGTATATGACAAAGTTTAGTTTAGTTTTAGTTTTTCCTTCTGCTTGTGCTGTTAGGCATCGCAGGGAGACACAGTCATCTGTCAGTGGCAAGGCAAGTGATCTGGAGGAGAGATATCTCATGGGCTCTGAGTATATGACAAAATGGAAAAAAAAATTTGTGTGATGTGTTTCATCTTTTAGAACTTCATTAGACTAAAGTGATGTTTATGTTGAAGTGACTACACATACACATAAATAAGAGGGGATACTAAAATTTAAAATTTATTTTTTAAAAATATGTATTTTTTTGTATATAGTCTAGTTGATTTCATTTAGTTTTCTTTTTTTAGTTTCATGATATATAAAAATTTCTATATCATTTTTCCCATATATGGTAGGATAAAGAACAAGTAGGAAACAGTTCACAATCTAATGTTTCACTTTATTAAATCTTCATCAGAGATCAAGATAAAATGATAAAAAGCAGTGACGCAGATTAATGGTATTCAGATATGTGACATATTTAATGATGTGGGACATAACTTTAATTTCGCCAATGCAAGCCTTATTAAAAAAGTTTTTTTTTTTTGGTTTTTGTTTTACAGCATATCAACCTCAATGGGTTATTTAATGTCGATGAAATGTTTATTACTGGTAATATTTTTCCTTCAAAAAATCTATTTCTGGTAATATTTTTTCATTCAAAAAAGTATTGCTGGTAATGTTTTTTCAAAAAATATTTTGCTGGTGATATTTTTTTTCTTCAAAAATGTATTGCTCTAATAATTTTTTTCTTCAAAAAATTTATTGCTGGTAATTTTTCACAAAGTATTTCTGATATTAAAACCTATTTTTACAATTTTATAGTGTTTTGACCCCAGTTTAGGGGTTAACTATTTGCCCATAGTTGGGACCCAAACAGGTGCTACCACCCCAGGTCAGGGTGAACACCAACAATTAAGAGGTATTTCCATGCACCTCAAAACCTCTTGATCAGTGGCCTTGCTGTTGGATGTAGTTTATCGTCATATCCAGGAAGTTAATGTTGTCAGTTTACTCCATTAAGCTATGAACTTAGACAAATTCAGGATTTCAGAAGCTATTTTCCCTAATTTACTCTTGCAATGGCATGGGCACAGGAAACATCGACGTGAGTTCAAACTCAGTGGCAGTTCATCTTTATTTTTGCTGCAGCTTGTGTTCATGCCTTCCAAATGACGTTAGTGAAAAAGTAGTCTACTTGTATGTCTGGTAATAAACCAGAGATCGTTCTTTGTTGATAATACAATATAACACAGTACACTGTTATATCACAGCAAAATAACCTCCCATCGTCTTGGGAGATATCAAAAGGGAATTATCGACAAAGCACTTCAATGACAATAGTTTGGTTTGGTTTGGTTTGTTTTATACAGTATATCAACCTCAAGGGGTTATTTAATGCCAACAAAATTTTTATTTCTGGTAATATTTTTTCTTCAAAAATGTAAAGTTTCTAAAATTTCTTTTTCAAAATTGTATTACTGGTAATAATTTTTTTTTTTACAAAGTATTTCTGGTATTAAAACCTATTTTTACACTTTCATAGTGTTTTAACCCCAGTTTGGGGGCTAACTATTTACTCATATTTGGGACCACAACATGTGCCACCACCCTGGGTCAGGGTGGACCTGGGAACACCAGCAACCAAGAGGTCATTCCATGCTCCTCAAAACCTCCTGATCAGAAGGCCTTGCTGTTGGACGTAATTTATCATCTTACCCAGGACGCGGATGAAGTTTATCGTCATACCCAGGATGGTATTAAAAAAAAGAACATAACCTTTATGAAAACATATTTATAGCAATACTACCAACTATTAACTCACATTTAAAAAAAATACATTACTTCACCTTTTTTCTAGAGATCCATTATTCATGAATCTAACTTATGTCTTTCAAATACATAAAAAATCAAAGATATACAAAATGGACACAAGATATGCTTTAATGAAAAATCAAACCAAAACAAAATTTAAAAAAAAAATCTCCCTTTTACACATTTTATCATCCACAATGTCTTTCACACATATGTGAATATTATCTGTTATTTCATTACACATGACACACATCTAACCAATAAAACTTAATCAAACACAACATACCATTAATCTGTATCTCTTTACTTTTTATCATTTTTTATCATTTCCATCTTGATCTCTGACAAAGTTTTAATAAAGTGAACATGTTAGATAGAGATGTTTCCTATTTGTTCTTTATCTTATCATTTTCTGAGATTCCTATCCATACTTGATCTATATTTGATCTTCTACTCATATAATAGCTGGCGACTCGTATTCAAGGATACCTGTCTACTAATTCAGATGCTCGTTCAGGCACATTTTGTATTTGTTTCAAACCCACAGAGCGGACCTATGGTTTATACTGCAACCCTGCTGAGCAGACAGTTTTTGGGAGAGA